GGCATTTGAATGACCCTGAGGAAAGCAGCAAGGGGTGGGATTGAAAGTCTAGGTAGAAATGTTATCCCTGGCAAAAGAGGACGACACTTCCTTCTCAGGTTGTTACAAACAGGCTATGGAGTTTTAGAAAGCAGGAACTGTACTCTTTTTGTTTTCAACACTGAGAAGATAACTTAGTAAAATACTGCGAAGGAAACTATTTTTAAATCAGAGAATGGTATCGTATATTCTCTACTTAGAACAAAACCAAGAGAAATGAATATAAATTGTCAGTTAAAACATTACTAAAGGAAATGATCAATCCTATTCCTTTTTTTTTTTTTTTTTTGCATTTTTCTTAAAAAAGATATGTTTGAATCTGGTTGAAATGCACTGATTATAGGCATACCCTCATATTTTTTTCTGGTGGGCTAGGCCAGGTGACTTTGGGATGCTACATTTCAGGTTTAAAAGATTGCATGTATGTGAAGACACACAATCTCATGGCCAGGACAGACAAAATTAGAAAGGTGCTATTTTTTTTTTCATGAAAATAAATGAGATGCCAGGAAACTGGGATTTTAATTCCAACTTGATCATTTATTAGTTCTGTTTTTTGGGGGGTAAGAATCTTAACTCCTGTAAGCCTTAGTTTAATTTTTTAAATATAATTAGGGGAGTGGTCATGATAGTTAAGATTCTTGTAGCCTTAAAATTAAATAATTCTAAAAATGTACAGTATATTACCTATTTTGCTTATGGTAAAGTCACAGAATATATCTTTCTTTGTGAATGTTTCCCTAGCTTGAATTTCATGAAAACATTTTGTCTGCTACTTGACTAACTAGAACATCTGGTAACTTTTGAAAGTATTTTGAAAACTCAACTGATGTTGCATTTATGAATGCTAAGGTTGAGAAAGACTAAATTGGATTGCCTTTATATGAGATCTTTCCCTGCCTACAAATTTCACTTACTTGGAAGATGTAGTAACTCCAGCTATTGTTAACCATTTGATAAATTGTTATTCATAAGCATTCCACTTCTTGGGAGTTGAAAGAGTTAACTAATGCAGTTCAAAAGTTTGACTCAGTCGAGAACTTCTTGAGTGTCTAATTTTATGATTTTGATAGTCAATTTAGGCATTCAAATAAGTCACTTTAGACTAATTACTGTAGGCAGAAAATATGAGTAATTTAATTTTGTTTGGTTGAATCGATTATTCTATTTTATTCATTTGAATAGACTTCTCCGTTAGACTATGAGCTCCATGGAGATAAAGATATGTCTGGTTTTGCTCATCACTGCATCCTATCCCTCATACTTTCCATAGTGCTTATACATAGTGGCTGCTTAATAGATATGTGTTAAATGAATGAATGATATGATTTTACTCCTATGGAGTTATTAGGCACTAACAATTTGTGATTTAATGTTCTTTTCCATTAAAAAATTTTCAATCATAAAGCACTTTATATTTGGAAGTGATCATACAAGACTATAATTCATTCAACAGCATTTAATTATGAAAAATGTCTTGCTCAAGACATTTTATGTCTACTTTGAATTCTGCCTTGAACTCCCTTCAGAATTTTGAGCCAGACAGATAAACATAGAATAGCCAAATGAAATGAGACAACATTTATTGAGAGTAGAAGAGTGGCTGGAAATTCAGGAAGTGTTAGATTGCCTATTGGTTGCCTTTCTTTAGTCATTTTTCAAAAGGGCCCCAAATCCCTTGTCTTTCTGATCATAACTTCTTTACCTACTATCATCTTCCCCCTTCTTCATATAAAGACTTTTTTTCCTTTCTCCATCTCTCCAACAGTTGTCTTATTTCCTCTACTTCACTCAGTATATTAATTACCTCTTGGACATATTTGCTTTCTATCGAAATATGGAGGGCAGGGACACCAATTTCTTAGTACGTACAAGCTCTCTTGAGTTAACAGCTTTGAAATCTGACCCACTCCTTGTTCTTGTCAGTGGAGCTGGAGCCCTTCTAGAGGGAGGACCAGACCTTTGCCACCTTTGGACCACCCACATCCAAGCTGCCAACTTCATAAATGTCTTTGGTTATCTCATAGCTCATCACTGGGTGGTTCCCTATTCTGATTCTCATTGCTATTATCCCATTACCACTTGCCTTGTGTTGTAGTAACTTTGGGGAGGACGGAGTGGAATAAGAGGTGTTCATAAATATTATCTGGGAATGTGTATGCATTATTCAACAATTATTTGTTTGACATCCATTATGTGAGGCATGTTGCATAACTGGAACAATCATAGGTAGGTGACTCTAGCTCTGGTGTTAGAATGGGTGGGAGTTGGAACAGAGATTATTCTTTTCTTTCCCATCTCTTGTGGTTAAGGTCATGGTTCTCCATTACTGGCAGTATCATGTAAATCTCTCTGTATGTACTCTTCCAATGAGCCAGTTTAAGGGTTTCTGACAACCACCTTTTGTTTTGATGTTTGTTTTGTGACAGATGATTCAAGAGAGCCGGTTTCTCATAGAAATGGCTGACACAGTCCAGGAAAAGATTGTGCAGTGTCAGAAAGCAGGTAATCTTCCCCAACTCCACCCCATCCACCCCACCCACCACCATTTTGTTTAGAAATCATAATGATAATCTTTCGCAGAGTTTTAAAAAACATTTCTAATCTTACTCTTAAAATTCAAGTATTTTATGCCATGGTTTAACTATTCTTTGAGTTCTGCTTAAGTGTTTGGTACGTAAGAAGTCTAGGTGATAGTAGGTGGGGTGTATGTGTATATATGGGGGGTGGTGTCAGATGATTTCTAGAGAGGTGAGAGTTTCTAAATCTACTTTTGTAGTTTGTGAGCCTATCAGAATCTTTTACTACTGATATGGAAGCTATGGTTCTACACTGTCTCTTAAGAACCACTTCATTTTTATAATTGGAACCATGATCCTTTAATCTTCTAGGCTTTTGCCTCATTTACTAGTCCTCATATTAGAATGATCTTTCTTAAGGATGAAATGGGTCACATATCTATGAGGGCACACTTCTGTTTATGTTCACCTTCATCCACACCCCTGTACTTTTATCTCTCTTGGATCCATGTCTCCTTTATCCACACATACAGTAATGATTATGATGAAGATAATGACAGTAATGACAATTGCTTGATATATATATGATATACTAAACACATACACTATGTTACTTTGTCCTCATAACAACTCTGCCAAGGTAGTCATCATTATAACCAACCTATAGATGAGGCATCTGAAATTTTGAGAAATTGGGTGAATTACCTAAGATCCTGTATTAAAACATGGTAGAGCTGACCTTTGAATCCAGACTAGATTTTAAAAATTGTGCTCTTCACTGACTGAGCAGCAGGCTAAAATATTTCAGTTGTCAGGGATCGCAAAAATAATAAAACCAAATTACATAATGCTCCTATGTGCCAGGTACTACTTTGAGAGCTTTATGAGTATTGATTCATTTACTCTTCATCACAATGCCTTGAGGTAAACACTCTTGTTATTACCATTTTACCAATGAAGAAACTGTACTGTGGAGAGTTGCAGGGACTTTTTCATGCTCACGGACCTGTTAAGTGGTAGAGCCAGTGTAAGTCCAGGCGCCATAATCATGCTCTTGCCCTGTGTTATATTTGTGGTGTTGGCACCAGGCAAGTTAATTTGGTTTAGACTGCATTAATAAAAGCAGAATAGCTAGAACAAAGAGAGTGGTGGTAAATCCTCATATCATGTAGGCTGCTTCAAGTCTTCTTTGAGTAGATGTTTCAGGATGCAGGTCTCTACAAGCTTGACTCTGGTAAGCTATGAAACAATAGACATTATTAGTAAGCTGAAACATGTTGGAATGTTTAATCTAGAGAAGACCCTAGTGGACTTTATCTAATATCTTTCTTCAAATATTTAAAGGGCTGAACTGCAGAAAAGAGATTAGACCTTGTTGGTCTGGGTCTAGCTAGCACCAAGGAATGAA